AGAATAGTATTATTTGCCGGCATTCATTAATAAGAAATTGTATTTTTTCATCTTAAAAAATTAAACTGTATTTTCTTTTTTAAATATATATATGCATGCGTAGTACGTATTGTATGTATATGTGTATGTACGTGCTTGTATGTGTTTATTATGTGTATACCTGTATATATATACATACATGTACGTGCATGTGTTTATGTACGTGTATACGTGTACATGTGTATATATATGTGTGTACGTGCGTCATGTATCCGTATACGTGTGCATGTATATATATATGTGTACGTGCATGCATATGTTTATCTATGTATATATGTGTACGTTTGTATTTATGTATGCATGTACATTTATGTGTATATACGTGTGTGTGCGTGGGTGTATATATGAGTGTATATATGTTAAAAGAAAAATAAGAAGGAACGAAGAAAGAGATGAAAAGATAAAAAGAGAAGGGAAATGGATATTAGTTATTATTTGCATTTATCTGTGAGAGAAGAGAAAATAGCAAATAAAAGGGAGAAGTTAGAGAGAAAATAAAGAGATCACTAATGATCTGTGCCCTTGGCATAGAAACCAAATGTTTAGTTTTGTCATAAAATATAAAATAAAAGGAAAAGCCTTAAAGGCTTTTATCCATTTTTTTTTCCATATTTTCTTCATCAAAAAAGCTTTTACAATTTCTCTCAAATTCTATTTATTTTCCAAATCAAAAATATTTTTTTAAAAAAATATCCTTTCGGCAAGATGAAGGTATTTGTTTGGTACCTGTCATTTATTTATGTTTGTATGATACATGTATATATATATATGTCTTATTTCAATTGCTGTCTCTCAATCACTTCATTTTGACATTTCTCCTTCTCTCTCTCTCTTTCTCTTTCTCTCTTCCCTTTCTCTTTTTTAATTTTTTGATAGCCTATTAAGCTTTAGATGCTTTTCGGCTTCTTTTTTAAAAAAGGAACACTTCTGTTTTATTTACTGAACTTTTTTTCAATCTTCCATTTTAATCGAAATTATGTTTTTTGTTTTTGTTTTTCTTTCCGTATTTTTCCTTTCCGTATTTTTCCTTTCCGTATTTTTCCTTTCCGTAATATGAATATTTTCTTCTTTTTCTTCCGTTTTTATCAATGAAAATTTGCTAAAAATGATGATAACTTTGATAAAAATATTAAATTAATTTCATTAAATATATTAAAAAAAGTTTATTTAAACAATACAATTATAATTTCAATTTGTATGTTAGATAATTAATGAATAAAATATTTAAAAAAACTTTTTGGTTTTATTCTTTTGTTTTTTAGAAATAAAAGTTTTTTCAAGTTCTAAATCGATATAAATGATACGTGAAAATGTATGTTTATGTGAAAATATGTGTTAAGTGATAATCTATTATAGTACTTATTTATTATAAATAAATGGAATGATTAATTTTAGTGAATTATAATTATCAATGGATTCATCATATATTTTTTGCAGAATAAATTAGTGAAAAATCTTATGGATGAAATAGAAATAATGCTTTGCTTCGATTTCAATTATTTGCATAAATCTTTTTTTAGACAGAATTGCGAGACATTTTTCTTTTAATGTCAGTCAAACATTACTAATAGTTGATTAGTTATACTTTTGATTAAATGTTAGAATAAAATTTATTTTATGAATTAGGAGAGAAAAAATGAGACATTTTTGACAAGAAGATTCATTATGGAAATTGCACAATATGAAGCTTTAACGAATATATAATAAGGCATAGTAATAGGAAAATGAGAAATATCACGTATCACGCATTCAGATGCAGTACAAAGAATGCGAAGATTGCATAGATTTTCACGTATCACGCATTCAAAAGCAGTATAAAGGAACCAAAGATGGAAGACATTTTCACGCATTTAGACGCAATATTAAAAAAGCAACGATGACATAGACTTTCACGTATCACGCATTTAGACGCAATGTAAAAAACCAAAGATGATTACGGAAGCAACGATTTTCGGATGTCATACTTAGAATAATCATCAGTAGTTGGAGAAATCTTATAAATCAGGATTTATTTCCATCATCATATTAAGGATCAGGATGATGATATAAATAAATAATAGTAATGAAAATAATTTTGATGATAATGAAAATATCATTTCCAAGCGTAAACATATGAAAAATTAAATTTTAGTTTTTCGTCTTTTTTACTTTTCATCCTTTCGAATTTTCGTTTGCCAAACAAAAACATCCATTTCATTCCATTTTTTTAAAATAAAAAAATGGAAACTTTTAAAGCTAATTATTTTTTAAATGCTTTAGGGACGAAAAGATTGGAGAATTAACAATAAATATTCCTTCTTTTAGTATTAAGTGTATGTGTGTGTGTTATGTGCTTGCTGGCTGGCTGGCTGGCTGGTTGGTTGGTTGAAGAGAGAATAAAGTACTTTTCAAATTTCTATTTCAATAATTTCAAATAACAATTTCTTATCATTCATCCTTCCTATCCTCTTTTTATTCATAATTCATTTCAACAATTTCATTCTAATTATTGATTTTCATTAATAACTTTTCAGTAATTATAACATTTATTTTGCTACGAAAATTTCCATCTTCATTATTATTTATTATTTATTGTTTATTATTTATTATTTACTATTATTTATAAACATTTATTTATTAGTATCATTTTTTTATTATTATTAATTACGTTATTATTATTAATACTGTTATTATTATTATTATTATTATTATTATTATTGTTATTATTATTACAATTATTATACTTTTCTTCTTAAAATTTCAAATTGATTTATTTGTTTTAGTTTAATTTGTTGTTTATTGTTTTTTAATTTTGAGAAAATTTTTGTGCCAAAATTAACTATATAAATAATAAATAATAATAATAATAAAGGAAGTGATATTAAAGGCGAAGAAAGAATGTATGTTATTTTAACAATATATTTCATATTCAAATATATTTTTGTTATATATTTTATAATATCGCAATATTTTTCTTTATCTACCTTTAAGTCGTATGATTTCAATAATTTAATAAATAATTAATTACGTGTTAATTATTGGCTTAATTTTATCAGTTAAATGAACAGGTTAAGAATAAATTATACGATTAAATTCCACTTCAACTAACATGTTAATTTTAATATGGAAAAGCTTGAAGAGACAGGTAGATGAGTTCTAATGTGAAACTTGAAGAAACAGGTGGATAAGTTCAATGTACTTTTTTTATCATCACACTTTTCTTTTCATATCTTCAACTTTTCCGATCATTTTATCCCTCCTGAAAATGCTTCTAACTTTTTAGATTTTAAGTCTCAAAGTTCGTTTCTTCTTTGTTCCTCAATATAATTAATCAGTATTTTGCTATTTTGAAATATTTCATTTCCACTTTTATTCACTTAGTATTTATTTAATTATTAGATTAATTACAAAGTAAATGGAAAATTTTTTCAATTCAAATTTTGTTCTCTCATTTGTTTTAATTAATCAGATATTTTTTTATCATATAAAGGTGAAAATAAAAATGAAACAATGGATGCAAATTAGTAGCAAAATTGATAAAATATTTAATTGCAAATAATTTTAACATCTCCCTTTTGTTTACTAATACTTTTTCCAATTTTCCATTTCATTCTAAAATTTATACTTTGAAGTATTTCCTAGCTTGTGCTTATTTTTTATCAAATTTAATTATTTCATGAAATGAAATTTGATTTATATTTCAAAAAAATGATCATAAAGCTGTCAGCAAAAGAAGATATAATCATATTTAATAAAATGTCACAATGTTTATATATCATCGGTACATTTGAAAATCTTTATTTATTATAATTTAATTTCCGATAGTATATATCATCGGAAATTAAATTGTAATAAATATATTTTCTTTTGCTGACAGCTTTATATTCCGATAGTATATATCATCGGAAATTAAATTGTAATAAATAAAGTAAAATGATAAATGGCAAAGTGAACAAATTTCCAATTTCATTTCAATTACAGCAAAATGATAAATAGTAAAGTTAGCTTAAATGATATAATAAATAAAACGCGGTCGAAGTTGAATGTAAAAAAATGTATCAAAAATAAATTAGAGAAGTAGGCCAAATTTTTTATTTTCCACTTAATAGTTAATTAAATAATTAATTTAATTGAGAAATAGTATGTTTGTTTAGGATGGCTGTTGTGAATTTTAATTTACATCTGTACTCTTTCTTATCAAAAATGAAACTTTCTTTTAACAGTTCAAATATCAAAATGAATATATATGTGGGTGGACAAAGATGTTATAATAAATTTCTTATCAAAAATGAAAATTTTCAATTGACATGCTCTTTTAGCAGTTCAAAATGATAAACAGTAAAGTTAGCTTAAATATATATGTGGGTGGACAAAGGATGTAATAATAAATTATGCAACGATCAATCTTTTAAATCATTTCCATAAAATCAGACTTCTTTTTATAAATTATCGAATTTACGTCATTTCGTATAATATTCTTTTTTTACGAAAATTACGGCAATTTAAAAAATTTCTTCCATTTGCTGGCTGTCAGGTAAGTACTAAATACGGCAAAAATATAATTCCGGAAACTGCAACTAATTTCCGAAATTACTGTCATATAACAATCCATAAAATTGGTTCGATTCAAATGATTGACAATTTAAAAGGCAAACAAATATGTATTAAATTAAAAGCTATGGCATTCATTCATCTGAATATTTCACCTCTGTGTTTAGTTAGTGATAAATTTGATAAGAAAATTTGCATAAATTTCAGAAAGTTTTTAGTTTCATGCAACATTAGATAGATGTAAAATTATTGATTACTTCGGGAAAATAATTATTTTGCTTAAAATCAAGAAACGATAAAAGAAAAATATTTAATCATATAAAATTATTGATTACTTCAGGGAAATAATTCTGGGAAATTTCAAACTAATGAATATTCAATTGAAATGTTATTGCCATTGAAAGTTATATTACAATGAAATTGATGATTTAATGTGGCGTAATATTGGACGATGTTGTACCACCAAACGAATGTATCAAATTCGTCGTAATGCTCACAATACAAGCAATCATTTGGCTTATTTGATATTTTTAATTAGTACCGCAACTGTAATTACTCAAATTATACGGTAAGTATGAATTAATTTTATTTTTTAATTATTAATTAAAATTTTTATTTTCTTATCAAATTTTTCGTCTTTTCTTTTTCAAATGTAAATTTAATTTAAAATACAATTTGTAATTTTAATGAAAAAAATTTTTCAAATTGTTTTAATTCACAAATAATTAAACAAATTTAAATTAAAATTTAATTTCCTTTAAAATTATTAATTAACTAATTTTTGTAATGAAAAATAATAAAAATAATTTATTAATTATTTCGTATATTTTTGCATAAATAAATTTCGTCCATTTTATATTAATTAGCTTATATTTTTTGCTAATTTTAATTTTTTATTATTTGTTTACAAACTTCATTTATATGCTAAAATTATTTACGTCAATAACAGAATTATATAATGAGAAAGCCTAACTCCCCGTGTGTGTATTTATTATTACTGAATTATTCTTCGATGAATAGGCCTATTGTTAGGCATACAATTTCTTTTTACATAATAATTCCTTTTTTTGTTTTGTCACTTGGAAAATTCAATTTTCTATCTAAATCGACAGCTTATTTCTTTGTTTTCCAGTAATAGAAACAACTAAAATATGCTAAATGAGTTAAGGTATAGTCAAATTTTTGAATAACATTTTATTACAAAATAAAATTTGAATAAATTTATAGTTGCTATAAATAATTGATAACAATGATAATTACCATAAATAAGTGATAACAATAATAGTTACTTAGAAATTAGTGATTATACTAATCATACATTTAATGATTGAAATAATTTTAATTCTACCATTTCAATCATTTCATTTGTATCCATTATTTTATAACATAAATTTTAGCATAATATTTGTTTGTTTTTATAAATTCCATTAAATGGCATAATTTTCTTTCTTTCTTTTTTCTATGCCTCACATAAATAAATATAAATTTGCATAATTTATGTGACAAAATAAGTCATTCTTATTGCGACAAATTCTTCTTTTACAAATAATTTGAAACAGAAAGAAAGATCGCTGCGTGTAAAATTAATTCTTCCAACCAGCCGATTTCTTTTTATTTACAAAATTGATAAAACAAATATTTGTTGTTATTGCGCCATTTTCTTTATGACTAATTTTAATGATATGATATTTTAGATAAGATAATTTCACTTTCACATAATAATTAAACATTTTAAAAAGTGAAAAGAAAAAGGAAAGAGAAAGAAATGAAATATATGATATGAAAAAAGAGTAAAGAAGGGAACGATATATATTTTGGTATTTAAAAAATGCTATTTATAAGTAAAAAATTTCATCAAACATTAAACAATTATTGCTATTGTTAATTAATTAATTAATTATTAATTATTTTAATTTTTAATCTGAACCATATTCATTTCTAATTTAAGGTATATATATTATCATTTTCATGAATAAATTAAAAAAAGGCACATTTGCTAATTCATGTTAAAATAAAATAAATAATAATAACGATAATGATAATGATAATGAATAATAACAATAATAATAATAATAATAATTAATAATAATAATACAAATTTAAAGAATCGAAAAAAAAACAAAATTATAATTGATCGATTAGAAAGACTTTTGAATTCATTTTTTTTGGGCAGGTGTTATTTAATTTTGCTTTTATTAAAATAATTTAAAAAGAAATTAAATTTAATGATTTTGAAGGAAAGAAAATTCCCTACAACTACAACTGTCATACTGTTGCAGAATTTAACTTTAATTTAAATATTAGCTATGAAATCCATTTTTGTTCTTACAATTAATTTCCCAAATGATTGTTTAATTTTAATAAATTGAAGTATAAATTTGACAAATTAGAAAGTACAAAGGAAATTATAATTAAAAAAAATAAGGAAAGAAAAAATATTGAAATGCAATTAACGATATCACTGTTATCAGTAATTAACACCACTGATAAGTAGTATAGTATATTGATAAATAGGTAGTTCTTTTTACAAAAGTTTTTTGTTTTTTTCCTAATTACAGTGCTGAAAGATTATCATCAATTACACCTTGTGCCTATCCATTACTATCCGATACAGTACGTTGTGGTATTGATGATGTAAATTTGAGGAAAAGTGTTCGAATATGTGATCCTGATAAAGTAATTAGCATGTCTGAAAGTAAGCTTATCAATAAAATTTTGAAAATTTTAAATGAAATAAAAAAATTTTTAAATTTCACAAAAAATTTCTTAATGAATGAAATATATAAAGAAGAGAAATAAAAATTGTATTTTAAAACAATTACTACGAATGAAATTTAATTAAATTAATTTTTGTTTTATTTAAATGATACTTTAAAAAATTTGCAGTAGAAGTTATCAAGAATAAGCTTGATACCATATATAGCCGTAAAAATAAATCATGCCTTTGCGGATTTGATCAGGTATGTTTTTCTTTTTTTATGTTTAGTTAAAATTTTTGGATAAAAGAAATTATCTGTGATTTGTTTACTTTTAATTATTAGGTGATAATTGATAATAAACAAGTAAACAATCAAAAAAAATGATATTCAATAATAAACAAGTAAACAATGGAAGAGATTAACATTTGCTAACTTTCTGTTAATCATTCATAATGCAATTTGTAATTTAAATATGAAATTAAGCAGACCAAAATGATTTTTTTACTTACAGTCAGTCATTCAGGTAAATTACTACCAGTTGATGTTAATTTATTAAATTTCCATCTATTCTAATGTAATATATTGTTTACAAATTTTAAAAGTTTACAACACTATGAAATATTTTATCTGAAAAAATTGAAATATGGAAAATGATGAGATTGTAATTTCTAGAAAAAACCATGTTGGTTTCGATTTGGTTTTGCATTTTTAAGTCGAATGTTTCCAGTTGAATCAGGTGTTTCACATTTTTACAGGTAGAAGAATTATTTATTTAATGTTCTTGTAATTTTAAAATTTGAAAAATATAATTTCTCCCTTTGTTGTTATATATTCCCTATTGTTTCTATAAATATTAATTCTTTTAATAAGCACATTTCATCGAATAATTCAAATTCGAATAATAAACTTTTAAAATTTAGAAATTTTTTGTACAATTTTACACAATTTTTTATGTTAAATTAGTTTTTTTGTTTAATTTAATTTAGAAATTATAAAAAAATTTAATTTGGAAATTAAAAAAATACAAAAAAATTTGATTTAAAAGTAAGAATTTACAAATTTAGAAATTACAACATTTGGGTGATAATCATCAATATGATCAAATATTTTTGTTTTATTTTGATTATAAAATTTGCAATAATTTAAGAAGATTGGCAACAATTCTTTTCATAACATACAATTTCATACATACAATTGACATTTTGCTTTTCTTTTGTTTATTTGTACTAAATTACTGAAATTACATTAACACAATTCTTTTCTTAGTTTTTTAAAATTCTTTTTATAATTAATCACTGTACTAATTTTACTTACAGTCGTGAATTCTGTCCAACAAACAAATCATTGTTAAGTTACAAGAAAAGTTACACATTAATGGATTCAACAAGGTAACAAATATTTTATAATTCATTTTAAATTATTTCATATTTTCATTCCATTTATTACCATTATTTTCTCATTTATTCAATTCACTCTAATTTGCCTTTACTAAAATATATAAATACTTGAAATTGTTTGTCAATAATATATTTCAGTAAAAGCAAATTAGCAATTCAAAAAATTCTTTTTCTTTTCTCTTTTCTCATTTTTATCCTAAATTTTTTCATAGTTTTACTTTTCTCTTTAAAAATCATTTCGACTATTAAAGCACTCAATTACGAGAAAAAGCAAATGAAATTTCATCAAAAGGAGACTGAAAAAATAAATTAAATTTTCAAGGAAAAAATTAAAATCAATTGCAATTTAAATATTTTCCATTAAATAGAAATTTCTGTTAAACAAATTTTTCAAAATATAAAGCAAAAAAACGAACGAACTAAAAGAAATTATTCTTTTTAATTTCATTTTCTTTCTTTTAAATAAAATATTTTTTGTTTTTAATTAAAGAGAATCCATAATTAATTATGGTAAAAATTTTGCACGTCTATTGCGTGAACGTTGGTTAATGGGTGAATGTGACGAGGATATACTATTTTTTATCTTACTTAAAAGGCCAAGTCAGGTAAATAGTAATTTCGTTTTCTTCCTAATAATATTTTATAATTCCCCTTTTTTTTTCTTCTGATAGTTTTTTAAATTCCCATTTGATATTTTATAAAGTTTGCAGCACTATATTTTTGATAATTATCATTTTAAGTAAATGAAATAAATAATTTGTAATAGTAAAATTAAAACAAAAAAATTTTTTTACAGCTTATGCGTAGGAGCACATTATCGTATTTAGCATCCAGAACGGTACAACAAACACCGGTAAGTTTCCGGCAAAACGATTGTAAGAATAGATTGATCCTATTATAGAAAATTTTCAATAAAATATAAGCAACTTGTAAAATGAAATTTCAAAAATAAATAAACAAAAAAAATTCTTATATTTTAGTGAAAAAGAAAATATTGTTGTTTGTTGTTGTCATATTTTTTGTAGTATATTTTTGCATCATATGGTTCGTTGGTTCGAGAAAAAATTGATCCATATCATTCATTATCATTTAATGACTTCTCAATTAATCAACAACAACAGCAACAACAACAACAGCAACAACATTATATCGATCCATTACAACAAATTGTTGAATCAGAAAATGTAAATTTTGAAAATGGTTATTCTTTAAAAGTGGTAAGCATCTCTTCCTTTTATTTTAGTAAAAAATCAATATTTAGAAATTAGAAATTTGGTCCATTTCATTAAATTTGATAATTGTAAATAATTAAAACCTCGTCTAAATAAGAAAAAGAAGAATTGAAAGAAAAGAAAATTTGAATTTTTTAAATTGATAATTTGCATAAATTATTAAAAAGCTATTAATTATACTAATTTTCTTACAGTTTTAACATTTCAATAACATATTTTTATTATTTTAATTCATTTTAATATTAATGCTATTTCATTTAAATAAAAACAAAAAGAAAGTATACAAAATAAAAAATGAAAAAGAAATTTAATAATTATAAATAATTAATAAATTATTTTATGCAAAAATTTCACATCAAAAAAAATATTTCATTACTTATTATTATATTAATTATATTTTAAAATTCATTTACTTTTCATTGACTGAATTATGTAATATTTCAAAAAAGACATTTAAAAAAAAATCAATTTCAAAAAATTGTTAATTTTGTTAATTAACAGGTAACAGAAAATTTGTTGGATCGATTTGAGGCAACACTTTCACAGGAATATACATTACCACATTCTCGAAATCATATACCGGATTGGGCAACAATTGTTTTCATCATATGTGCCTTACTTTGTCTACTAATGTTAATTGGGTAAAGTGATAAATAAGTTATCGTCTTATTAACTCAGATAAATTCGTCGTTAAATAAAACATCATTTTATTGATTTTAATTTTAATGCATAGAGAAAATTATTAGATAAATAAAGCTAAAATATTTAAACAGTTATATTTGGCATAAAATTTGACTTTAGTGATAGCTAATCAATTTTTCAACAGAGATTTTTTATTATCAGATTAATTATATTATAATCATTTTCAGTTTTATTTAATGAAAACTATTTTAGTTATTCATTATTATAAAATAATGTTAGATGATTTGTTTTACTATCAAAAAACATTACAGAATTCCTTTTGTTTTAAAATTACATTTTGAAATTCATTTACTCAAATAATTATTTATCAAATAATTAATTAATTAAATAATAGCCTAAAAATTCTACAGTAATTTTTTATACTTGTTTATTTAT